GGGGGGGGGGGGGGGGTTAATAGAGACGGTGGACTTTTTTGAGGGGTGGCGGGGACTTATTTTATTGAGAAAAGACGATAGTATCAGTTCTCCATAAAGAACTAGAATACAAAATGGAAAAGCTCAAGTACCAGAAGGTTGGAGGCCATGCAGCCGAGCATCAGAATCAAATCCGAGCTTTCACTTGATGAATAAACCATTCCGGATCAGTCCACACGAAGTTTTAGAGTCGTGATTGATTAATACAGTCTATCATTTATTATTGAAGAATAATCAGGGGAGGGAAGGGTGGCTTATTAACTTTCTTCCCCCGAAAAGGGGGAGAGTTTATTAGAGGGTGGGGGTTTGTTTGAGAAGGGGGGGCTTAATAGAGGATTTACGGTATGTACGGGATGCGGTATGCCGAAATCGGGATTATGGGACTGAGCAAGAAGTTGGGTAAGGATGACAGGATCGAAGAGCCTCTAGGGACCCTCTGCGATGCGGCCCAGGAACGAAACACACGTTATTTGATCACACCGACAGCCTAGAGAAGACAACAGAAAAAATTTTGATTCTCGATTTCGATATCAGGTTACTGAACATATCTCAAAAGCGCGCTTATATCGCAAAGAAACGCTCGATAGTATACACCGACATGTTCACGCCTCAGGTAAAGTCAATATATTAATGACTTCTGTCAAGAGCCATAATAGGACTATTATGATCTCTTGCTTCTGTACAGTCACATAAAAACCCTGGAGAAAAAGCGCTAGAAGACGAAACAACATGGCTGGAGTGATGGACTGAGAGATGGGAGTTGTATCCGCAGCGATCCCTTCTGCCTGTCTTAAGAGATTTACATTGTCTTGGTTGCATCTCAACGCGCATATTGATTATTCGGATTTAAAGTATTTCAAATAATTTTTTAAGTTCAATCATTAGCTGCCAGTCAGACTTTTGTAAATCTTCTCTGAAGTAGTTCTTTACTGCATCAATAGACTCTCGGCTGATCTGTGGAATACAAAGAAGGAGAAAGAATAATTTTTTACACCTATTGGACGAGCTTGCGCAAAATATTGTGATTTGTCAGTAGCAAGCAGATTAATTATTTCCCGATTATATGGAAACTCCTGTCCAGCGATCGCAGCGACAGCAAAAATACCAGGATGCGATGTGTACGCTCCTGCCACCACGAGTAACAAGAAATCATTGGATTTGGCACTTTTTATGGAAGAAATGCAAAAATACGACTGCCTTTACAACAAATTTTCCACAGAATATAGACACAAGCACAAGAAAAACGACCGCTGGAAAGCAAATAGGGAAAAATTCGACCTGAGTCCCGATCAGGCCGAGGAAAAATTTAAAAACACAAGAATATCCTAGGCGAGATTTTTAAAGGTCTGGTTCTGGAAGAGAGGCGGTACAAGTGTTGAGTAGGCCATTTCCGAGTTCCCCTGAC